CACCAATGTTGCTAAACAAACAAGCAAGCAAATGATGCAAGTCATTGGGCATCATGCAGACTGACCTTCGCTCTTTTCTTCTTTTTGAACTGGCGGCATGGTTCATTTTATTCAAGCTGCTGAAACATTTGTGCTATAATGCATCACATTAAAGCAACCAGCTGTGATGTTTAATTTAAGCTAAAAGTTTATGATCTACAACTACATAATATCTTTGGGAATTGCTCGTTCTGTATGTTGCAGCAGTACCCAAATGTGGAACTAAGTGCTCAGAAAACTTCATCCTGCTTCATGTGAATGGTCCTTAGCCATTACTGGCTATTACTTATAGCAAAATGTGGCTGTGGAAAAGTGCCTGTTTCAGTGCTTGTCTAAAAATAGATTTGCAGCATTCTGAGCTCTCATTTCTTTCTTAAGCAAGTACCACATATTTGACTTCATTATTAGAGCCTGATGCAGAATCTGAACATTTTAAATTCATATTACATGGTGGACTGAAGCAAAATTCCAATCTCTTTCATAGTATTGTCTTCGGATAAAGTGTAATTGATGGAACGGCTGCCTATCACTTTGAGAATTATGTGAAATTGTATTCCCCATGTTAGGTCAACGCAATGGAAGCGGGAAAAGATACCAGTTGAGGGAAAATGTATAAATATATGATAAAGGCTGCTGCCTGGCAATTTTTCCTTTGGTAGTACTAATACAATATCACAATCATTTTTAAAAGCTATGAAGCTTAAATACAAAATAGATCAACTTCTAGCAAAATGTCCTTCATTTTGATAGGAACTGAGCATATATAAAGGGAAGGAGGAAATATGTATATTGCAAGGATTCTGGGGAGGATTGCAGCTCCTTGCAGGGTTCTTTTCAGTATCTGAGTTGGTGAGCTAGTTTTTCCTTCACTGCAAAATTCTCCCCAGATGTAGCACTTTTAACTTTTCCCAATAGGAGTGAATGACATCCATATACTTGAATGGAAGAAAGCAGGGGTGCCAACTCGAGTAAAATGGGGGGGGGAGGGAATAATTGATCACAAGACATGGAGCATGCATACCATTTGAATGAGAGGGCGCAGGTGGCGCTGTGGTCTAAACTACTGAGCCTCTTGGGCTTGCTGATCAGAAGGTTGGCTGTTTGAATCCCCATGACGGGGTGAGCCTAGCAGTTTGAAACCACGCCCGTGCAAGTAGATAAATAGGTACTGCTGTGGCAGGAAGGTGAACGGCATTTCTGTGTACTCTGGCTCCGTCACGGTGTCCCATTGTGCCAGAAGCGGTTTAGTCATGCTGGCCACATGACCTGGAAAGCTGTCTGTGGACAAACACCGGCTCCCTTGGCCTGAAAGCGAGATGAGCGCCGCAACCCCATAGTCGCCTTTGACTGGACTTAACTGTCCAGGGGTCCTTTACCTTTACTTTTTACCATTTGAATGGCAATGCCCATCAATTTTGCAGGGGCCTGCCCCTTCAATAATTTTATGGAGGGAGGGGTAAAGGGGCCTCAACCCACAGGAGATGTCTCCTATGGAAGAAAGAAAGAGAAATGAAAAGGTTCATTTCAGGACACCACTGCAAGCAGGGTTTCTGAGCTTGTTCCCTGTCTGTGGTTGATCCCTGTCATCAAGAATTAAGTCTGCTAATAGCTGAAGCAGAGGCATACCTAGGGGCACAGCTTGGGGCCCCCCACAAAAATCACCTATCAGACTATGCAACCCTTAGGTCCTGCTCCCCCCCCCCCCACGAGAAACCACTCCACTAGATACTTTTCATGGCAAGGCAATGAAATTAAAACTGTGCAAACAAACAACAATCTAAGTGCAGGGCGGAGTTGTAAAGACCCACAAAAATAATGATAATAAATAGTAGCAGCAGCAATCTCACAGTATAAAACTTTTGTCCCTATAGAACTGGTCAAGCAGGGCATTTCACAGTGAGGAAGGCACCACAGAAAGTTGCTTATAAAAAAATGTGTGTATTAAGCAAGGTTGGAATTCACAAATAAGAAATCCCCCAAAACGTTGATTAGTTTTATGATATTTTTTAAAAAATTGCAAACGTCCACATCATTGGGCGTCTGCCAAAGCCCATACAGTGGTACCTCTGGTTAAGAACTTAATTCGTTCTGGCGGTCCGTTCTTAAGCTGAAACTGTTCTTAACCTGAGGTACCACTTTAGCTAATGGGGCTTCCCGTTGCTGCCACGCCGCTGCCGCACGATTTCTGTTCTCATCCTGAGATAAAGTTCTTAACCTGAGTTACTACATTTGGGTTAGCGGAGTCTGCAACCCAAAGTGTTTGTAACCCGAGGTACCACTGTACTGCAATTATGGGGACCACTACCTGTGGTCTTTAAAATTTCAGCAGCACCCTACGCGAGGCCAAAATTTGGTGCCCCCACTGCCTTTTGTTTTCCATTCTGCTCAATTCACTACATTATAGTTGTAAAGCCCTGCAGCACCCTCTAATGTCGGTGCCCCATGTGGTGGAACCAGTTGCACTGCCCCAAAACTGCCTCTGCCGCTAGCCATCCCTGGAGACTTCTCCTCTTCTTGTTGGTGCCTCAGTCAGTAGTGTACAGAGCAAGGAGGGAGTAAGCAAACCTCAACAGGCCTTGTCCTCTGCCTCTCTGGGAGGTGGCACCAATTGGAGAGGAGGCAAGTAAATGCATCAAAAGCAGCAAGGACAAGATGGGCTTATTCAGGTTCCACTGAAAATATCTTACCCAAGGGTCTCTCAAAACCTAGAACTGGCACGATACGGAAAATGTGGAAATGGTAAATGCTAATGTGACACAAAAGCCCATTAATGCTTTGCAACTCAGGATGAAATCCTATGCCCACTTTCCTTGAAGTAAGACTCACTGAACCCAGTGGGGTTAGATTCTGAGTTGACATGATTGTGGCACTATTAGCTATACCACTACCCTTCTCCAGTGCTAGCACAGATACATTTAAGAACAACATGGTTTTATGATATAACCAGTCTTTTCTCTGAGAGCCAGAAATGCATCAGAAGCAATGATTAAAATGGATGTGGAAGTTAGCACAACTTTTCATAAAAGACCATTAGTGACAACAACCCCCTGTAGCTTGCCAACTTTATTTAGTATTGCTTGGCCCCAAAGAATGCAAGGGATTTTTTTAAACAACCACCACCAAAAGAAACCTGGGTTTCTGTGGAAGAAAACAAAATGGACATAAATATAATTTCTTCCATGCTGAGAAAAGAATCTATTTATTTTTTTCCATGCTGAGAGTTTAGATAATGCTGCACATAAAGCATAGTTTTTATTTTTTGCTGATGGGCAAAGAGTTATTCTGTTGTTAGTTCTACATCTATTAATTTCTCGCATGCTCCACACGCTTTAACTTCTGTTCAATAAACCTGACAGACCATGTCTTACTTTATCATACCTTGGAGTTGCTCAAAGCCTACGCAGCAAGATCAGAGAAGGAACAATATCACGTTCCCACCTGTTTTTGTCTCTGGGTATACCGAAGGGCCTTCCGAGCAATAATTGTAGCTGAGCTTTCTCAATCAAGAAAACAATTTCCCGAAGAAGATAGGAAGTTCCCTTATAACATGTCACACCACCAGTCCCTCTAGCCTGGTCTGCATTGACCCCTAGGACAGGGGCAGTGCGGTGCCCTCCAGATGTTATGGAATCCAACTCCCATCATCTTTGACCACTTGGTGTGCTGGCTGGGGCTGATGGGATTTTATAATCTACAACATCTGGAGGGCATCACTGACTGCCTCTGTCCTATAGTTTTATACAGGGTCCCCTTGTCAGCTCTAACTGGAAATGTCACCTAGGATCTTTCCACATTTCCTACCAATGAGCTACAGCCACAGAGTTTTAATTATAACCAAAGCCCCCTCTTATGTTATGCTTATTGCATAAGATCCTTTCCACTATTTTGCTGGGGCAAAGGAGGACTCTCCTCTCCACTTCAACATTATCCCCTGCTCCTAGGTAAACAATAATGAAGATGTTGAAGGAGGAACCAGAACAGTTTGGCTCCTTCCCCCCACAACCACAGTAAGAAGCCTTGGTCCATGGGGGAAAAGTCTCAGTTTTGGGTTCTCTAATGTCAGCTTTGTCCCATTCATAACCTGGAGGGTCTCCGGTTCTGTGGCTCCTCCCACATTGTCCAGAGCTTCCATATAACCCTGCCAATGTGAGAAGGACATGTATTGCTACCACATTTGCAAAGCTAAACAAAGCTAAGCAGGGTCCGGTATGGTTTCAAATTGGATGGGAGACCGCGCATTAGGATTGGACTAGATGACCCTCAAGATCCCTTCCAACTCTACAATTCTATGATTCTAACCTAAGGATGAAATACACAGCAAATTCACTCTACTTCACACATGCAGCAGATGAGGGTGTAAAATTGTTTCTGGGATGTACCACTTCAGAATACATATGGAAGACTGAACGATTCTCTCCAGACATTCACAAAACAAACAAGGCAACAAGGGGGACAATTTGTACCCTAGCTTTCTGTCCAATATGCTAGACTCCTGTAAATGCTTTTTCCTCATGTACTGTTCATGTGATCCCACATCTGCAGTCTGCATAAGCTGTTTCTTGACTCAATTTACTTAGGTGAAGTAGGCCTCAGGGGGACTTATTTCCCAATAAACATATGAAGGATCAGGTTGAAAGGCAGTGTTGTTGCTGTTGTTGTTGTTGTTGTTGTTGTTGTTGTTTTATTAAAAACCAAAAACAAAACATGTTTCAATGTAACGTTAACCAAAAAGAAAATACGTTGAGGTGTGGCAAAGTAATTAATTAGTAACATTAGTAGAACTTCCCTGGAACCAGTCTCTCTTCAAATTATCCCAAACAGGGGACTAAGGAAGATAGAGATTTGCATGAAATGGTGGTATATAAATCCAATCAATCAATCAATCAATCAATCAATAATAGAAGAGTTGGAAGGGACCACAAGGATCATCTAGCCCAACCTCCTGAAATGCAGGGATCTTTCACCCCACATGGGGCTTGAACCCATGACCCTCAGATTGAATCTCATGCTCTACTGACTGAGCTGTAAACAATTTAGTCTTAGAGAGTCAGTCATTTTGAGTGTTGGGTCAGGTGGCCAAATTGGAAAACATTCAAACGTGCAACCTCTTTACTGGGCCTTTTTACCCAGCAGTAAAAAGGCAGAACTACTTGTGACAATCTCCTCAAGAATTCCCTCTCAGAGGGAGTTGCGACTGCTGAAATTGTGATGCGCAGCTTCTATCACCCTGTCCAAGCTTTTCTCAGACTTGGGAGAAACACTGAGATACAGCCTGCTGTGTGCTATTTCGGAATAACTAGGTTGCTTGTAGTAGATTAAAGGAGAGAAGTGAGTGCATGTAGAGAGATTGATGTATTCAGGAGTGTATGGATCTAATCCTTTTCACAGATTTGTATCACCTTTCTGAGGAGTTCTGATGAACAGTTCAATGACACTCTAGTTGGCAGATGGAAATGTTATTCCTTTGAAGGATGTAGCCTGTACCAGGATTTAACGTCTTACTTTGCTTGCATCAACAAAATCCAAAGGAAAAAGAGAAGTTTATTGTGATGGAAGAGGAGCAGTATAATCTCTGACATCAGGAACAAATCAGAAACTAATGTTGAAGGGGAATAGGCATAAACACAGCCTGAGTCTTGAGAGATCACCTAAGAATTTCTTGAAACACATTGCTTCCTGTCTGGCTAATGAACTGCCAGTTTCATAGATCTGTGGCCTTGAGCTACATAAGAATCAAGTAAGAAATAGGTTCTCTAGTAGTTGAGAATAATACCAGCATATAATACCAGCAACAATAAATAATCATATAAATAAATAACACTGCTCATAGTCAAGTAGTTGTTGATATAAAATAACTTATAAGAAATTATCCGCATTATAAATTACCTTTTTCTGACACTCCCCCCCCCCGCCTCACAATTTGTGAAATCTTTTCCTATTAATGAGCCAAGTAAATAAAGACTTTGCCCTGGAGATATTTTTTATCTGTTCCCCACTTGATTGGTCAATGGAGACAGATATTTTATTTTGACTGTGCATGTGGTGAAGGAAAAAAATGGTTCAACAAACCAACAGAAACAAATGCTTTAGGGCAAATTTCCCACTAACATCACTTGTTCAAATTGCAAAAATATTTCATGGCTTTAACTATACAAATCAGGGAAGAGTACTTGGAAACAGTCTTGGATTTTGTATTGAATCATTTTATATCTATTTAAACAACACCAACTATTATTATTATTATTCCAACCATCTCTTTGACCCACACAGTTTTACAATTCTAATGATAAACCAGCCTATCCCTATCCCAACTGGATGCCTTCCAGATGTGCACAGCTGTTTGTTGTGAATTGCAGCCCTCCTGCAACTTGAAGTATGGTGTCAACAACCCTAACCCCTGAGTCAGACCAGTGTCTCCCAAAAAGCTCTTTCTCTTTTGAAATACACCTCTACGTTTTCCTATATAATATTTCTCTATGTTTCTTGAGGGCCATGGACATGTTGAGATTCCTGCATAACAGGGGGTTGGACTGGATGACCCTCAGGATCCCTTCCAACTCTGCAATTCTATGAGTCTATGAAATCATGGGGCTTGTGCACACCCTACATATATCAACTGCCTACTTGCTATCTACAGCAGAAGCAATATAGTAAAGTATTCAACCATCGAGCACTTCAATAATGAAGCAAGTTTGTGTATTTTGGTCCAAAATCTGAATAATTCAATCACAACTTTAGGATTTCTTTCAAAACTGCATTTTAGCAAATGAAAAATATATTCTTTTAAAAATATAAATATATTTAGAGGGACCTATCTCTGCTCTTCTGAAGAAGATTATACAGAAAACATCGATTTTCTTATCACCCTTATTAGGATGCTTATTAAATTTGAACAGTTCAGATTATAGATTTCATTTTTTCCCCTGGAAGCAAAAAACATATGGTCTTGGTAACTAAAGATAAGGATGCTTCAGGAAGGTAAAAAGTACTTAATTACCTAATAAAATTTACAAACAGTTTCATAGAGATTCAATACAAATATACCAAACTTCTATTTTCTAGTGGTTTAGGAAGAGGTAAACAGCCTCTATAATTAAACTCACAGGGCGATATTCAGCTAAGAGTAGACCCTTTGAAATTGACTGGGTTAAGTTATTTAGCTCAATTGATTTCAAAGCGTCTACTCGCCAACACCCATAGTTTCTTAATATCATTTAAAACATTTCTTTTTCCTTGAAAAAAAATACATACAAATGAAATGAGTTATAGCTGCTTATAGTTCTGTACTAGGCAAAGATGCTTGAATATTTTAATCGACCCGTATTTCGAATTGAACAACCCTGACCCATATCTCTGAATGAATGTGTAAATTGGAATGTAGTTAGTCTTCAGATTTTCCAAGTTATATTATGATGAGGTCTGAGAGCTGCATAAACAAGCAAGCAGTAAGTAGTAAACAAGCAAACCCCAGTGTTGCAAAATGTCACTCAGCAATATCAAAAGCGACACGATGGCCAGAAACAATTACAGTATAGAAAACTTTCGGAAATAATACAAAAGATCAAAACTATCAAACTGAAGTCTCTGAAAGCAAGCAAGCAAGCAATTCAACAGGTTTGTAGCCAAGTAGCTACAAAGCCTGCCTGCCACATAAGAATGGCAGAGAAACAAAATTACACTTCTTTGAATTTTGCAACACTGTTCTGCAACCAGGCAACATGTACAAAAAATGCAAATGTTAGGGGAAATTTCTTGCAAAAATGTGCTCATTGGTCAAAATGCTGATAAATTTTTATGTGGATCTGAACAACAACAACACAGCTTTTTGCAGAAATGTGGAGACCTGAATTTAATATTGGAAAGCATTAGAAAGCTAGAGATCTACACGGGGACAAACAGAAGACGCCTTTATGGCTCCCCTTTATCTCACACACAGCCCAACAAGACAATGACAAAATTCCACCAAACAGCATACAAATCAATATGGCTAACCTGATCCAAAACACCCACCCGCCCCACTCACACATGAAAACAAAGATCACCACAGCCAACCACAAACAAACAACCACACCCTAGGCCAACCCCAACTTCTCTCACCACCAAAGGAACACAAGTGAATAGCAGAGAACCTGCACAAGCGACGCTGACACAAAACCCCATGTATGTTAAGTATAATAGAAACATCGCCACCCGACCCCACCCCCACCCAACTTTCCCCCTTTCCCCCTCTTCTTTCTAATGTCTCAACAAATGAAACTGATCGGTAAAAATTGTTACTTGGGGGTGGGAGAGAGAGAGAGAGAGAGAGAGAGAGAGAGATTTCACATAATTTTGTAAACCAAGAAAATCTTTAATAAAAATACATTAAAAAAAAAAAAAAGCTAGAGATCTGAAATACACAGACTCATACACCCCAGTTCAAACTGTGGCTACAAATGTCACATGGAGGTAGCCATGATTTTGTTTTTTGTTTGTTTGTTTACATTACATCATCAGGAGGGACAGAAGCTCTTCGCATCCTGGTAGCCCCAGGCATAGTCACTCAGCAAAAAGCTTGTGCTTTATTTTTCATTGTACCTACTTTATTCTGATTTGAACTTTTTGGTTGCTTTTAAACCTTATTGATTTAAGTTTTAATGTTTAAAAAATAGCCCACGGAGGTTCCTTTTCTTCTTATTATCATTATTTGAAATCTAAATACGTCTTTTCCAGAAAGATATTTACCTAAAACAGCACATAGGAATGTGAATACTTGGCATGTTTTATATATAATGGTCCATTCTAAAAGCAAATGAAATAGAATCCAGACAGAAAACGGGTTCAAGATCATTGTCCAGTGTGCTAGAAAACAAATCTAACTGATTAGAGTGGCCTTCCAATTTTTCTATTTTTATAAACTACAATATATAATAAATTAATTAAATTGAGGGGGATGAAATCCAGCCTGGGAGCAGAAATACATAAGGGCAACAGGTAAACATTTCAAATCGAAAAAGGCGACCCTTTTCAGTCTGAGGGGCACATGCACTTTTGAGCAACCTTTTGGAGGTTTCCTGCCAATCGTGGGGGTGACTTGAGGCAAAACTCGGCAGAACAATGTGTGTGTGTGTGTGTGTGTGTGTGTGTGTGTGTTTTACCTTTATGCAATAGGTTAGTTTTTACAGGCACCCACACACCCCTGTAAATTGGCATTGACAGGACTAGGGAGTCCTAAGGACCAGACTGAGAGGTGTAGACGGCCGCATCTGTGCCCAGGCCAGAGGTTTTCCACCCCTGTTTGAAGTTGAAAATGAAGCTGGAAAGCCGATCAACTCATATAGCAGGCATTGGAGGTACAATACACATATCACTGAAATCAATGGCAAAGTTCCCATAGGAAGTTATGGTGTTGCATTCCATCTGACAGTTCACTGCTTGATCCACTCTTTCAATTCTATCCCACTGGCCTTCATCCACATCCAAATACGCACACTTCCAGCGGCATATGCTTCTTTGTGGACGTATGCACATTTGTCAGCAAATATTTTCATTGCAGAAGCTTAACAAGTGTAAAATGAGATCTCATATGACAGATGATCATCTCCAAAACATCCTGAAAACTGCCACTTTTAAACTCGCTCTGGAAATTGCACAAATGGCATCGCAAAAGAAAAGCAAGTCAATCCACCAGCGAAGTCCTGCTACGCTCATGCTAACATTATGCAAACTTTTTCAACAACGTTTTCTTAATAGAAAATCATGCAAATTAGCAGGCGGCATAAAAACGGCAGTTTCCCTAACAGCTGAACCAATATCTTCCACACCGATGCAAATTGTATGCAAAATATGCTAATTGCACTGAAAAGTATATATAAAGCCATGCAAGCTTCTGGGTCATGATTTTCAATGTTCCCTCAAACTGAAGATCACAATCCAACCATGTGAAATGCAGCAGTAGCTCCTAAGCTATTGCTCAGGTAGGAAACCTTTTCACCTTGAGCGCTACATTCCCATCTGGGGCTACATTCTATTGGTGGGTGGGGCAAG